TGGGGAGTGAACCCAGAGCCTTGCGTACACTAGGCAAGTACCATCTCCAGCCCCTAGATTTCTGCTTTTTATTTATTTATTTTTCTGTGTGCTGGAGATTGAACTCTTGGCCTTATACTAGGCCAGTGCTCTATGCTCTAACACAGAGCTATATTCCCAGCCCAAGGTTTGTGAATATTTAGAAGAAAAATTGAGGTTGGGGTAATTTCTTCTTTTTTCTTCCTTACCTTTTCCTCTTTCCCTCCCTTCCCCTCCCCCTTGTTAAATTGTGGTGCTAAGGATCAAACTTGAGGCCTGTGTAGGCAAATATTCTACCATTGAACTGTACTCACAGTCCCATGAGTAGATTTCTGATATTCTCTTAACTAGCAAAACTATGGCTTACACATAAATTTTGCTATACTTAGAAATGTCTGCTTTTGTTTTAAGAGATATTTAACTTTCCCATAAACTTTCTAGCATAAAAAATACTATTCTACTTATTTAAGAGGTAGTATTATTTATTTATAATAGGCAAGGTTAGGAGGACAAATATATTTTCTGAAGATTAGAAAAATGCAGTTCTGAGAAGGTATGGTAGTACATAGCTGTAATCTCAGCTAGTGGGTAGGCTGAGGCAAGAGGATCACAAGTTCAAGGCCAGCCTGGGCAACTTAGTATGACCTGTCCCAAAATAAAGAATAAAAAGGTCTGGGATGTAGCTCAGTGGTAGAATGGTTGGTTGTACCACCAAAAAAAAAAAAAAAAAAAGCCATTCTAAAATATTTTTTCAATCTTTTTTTGTTTGCTTGGTGATACTAGGGATTGAATCTAGGGGCAGTTTATTACTGAACTACATCCCCAACCCTTTTTATTCTTTATTTTGAGACAGAATCTTGCTAAGTTGCTAGCCTTGAACTTGTGGTTTTCTTGCCTCAGCCTCATAGCTGGATTATAGTTATATGCCACTGTGCTGCACTCTTGATCATAAATCTGTCCAATATTGCATCCTTTATAGATCAGAAAACTATTCTAACAAAGGTTTTTTTTCTTGTAGTCAATACAAAGCTAAGTCTCCTTTGCCTCTGGCTAAGTGTATTTTCTTATATCAGGGAACTTTTCTTATATTATGTCAGAACTTACATTACGAGTGCTAGAAACACAGCTTGCACTAAGTTAATCAGAAAGGTAACATACTATTTCACAATCCCCTATACCGGAAAAAGGAAAGATAGAGCAGAGTTCAATAACAGCAAGATCGGGCTGGGGATGTGGCTCAAGCGGTAGTGCGCTCGCCTGGCATGCGTGCGGCCCGGGTTCGATCCTCAACACCACATACAAACAAAGATATTGTGTCCGCCGAGAACTAAAAAATAAATATTAAAAATTCTCTCTCTCTCTCTCTCTCTCTCTCTCTCTCCCTCTCTCACTCTCTCTTTAAAAGAAAAATAACAGCAAGATCCAGAAATTCACATCTATAATCATCTTCCTCCCCTCTGGATCTCCTTTTCTGCTCCCTTTCCTTTTTCCTCTTTGCTCCTTTTTCTTCCTCTGCCCATTCTCAATGCAGGGTAGCTTCATTTTTTCCCATTGTAAATGGAGCTTTTGAAGATAGGGAGAATAGCTACTAAGAGCTGAAACTTGATCAATCAATTTCTCTCTCTCTCTCTCTCTCTTTTCTTTAATTCACTGCTGGCAAACCATGGATTCATACATGCTAGGCAAGCAATCCACCCATATAGCTACATTCCCAGCTTTTAATTTTTATTGTTTTTTACTTGTTCTTTTTAGTTGTACATGATAGTAAATTCTATTTACATATGTTATATAAGCATGTAATATATCTTATTGTAGTTAGGATCCCAGTCTTGTGGATGAACACAATGTTGAGATTCACTGTAGTGTATTCATATATGTGCACCGGAAAGTTATGTCCAATTCATTCCACTGTCTCTCTTATTTTTATCTCCTCTTTCTCCCCTTCATTCTCCTTTGTTTAATCCACTGAACTTCTCTTCTTCCTCTCCCACCTTGTTGTAGGTTAGCATCCACATATTAGAGAGAGCATTTGACCTTACTTAGGTTTGTTGGAATTGGCTTATTTCATTTAGCATGAGAGTCTCCAGTTATATCCATTTACTGGCAAAGTAATAATTTCATTCTTCTTTGTGGCTAAGTAATATTCTATTGTTTACACATTCTACAACTTCTTCTTCTTCATTTTTTTTTTTAAAGAGAGAGGGGGGAGAGAGAGAGAGAGAGAGAGAGAGAGAGAGAATTTTTAATATTTATTTTTTAGTTTTCAGCGGACACAACATCTTTGTATGTATGTGGTGCTGAGGATCGAACCCAAGCCGCACGCATGCCAGGCAAGCGCGCTACTGCTTGAGCCACATCCCTAGCCCCTCCACAACTTCTTTATCCATTCATCTGTTGAGGGGCATCTATAGCTTAGCTATTATGAATTGAGGTACTATCAACATTGATGTGGCCTCATCACTGTAGTATGCCTATTTTAATTACTTGGGGTTGCTTCGAGGAGTAGGATAACTGGGTCAAGTGGTAGTTCCATTCCAAGTTTTCTGAGGAATCTCCATACTGCCTTCCAGAGTGGTTGCACCAATTTGAAGTCCTAACAGCAATGTATGAGTATACCCTTTCCTCACATCCCTGCCAATTTTTATTGTTACTTGTGTGTGTGTATATATATATATATTTTTTTGGGGGGTGGTACTGGGGATTGAACCCAGGGGTGCTTAACCACTAATCCACCTCCAGCCTTTTTAATGTTTTTTATTTAGAGACAGGGTCTCACTGAGTGGCTTAGGGCCTTACTAAGTTGCTGAGGCTGGCTTTGAACTTTCAATTCTCCTGCCTCAGCCTCCCAAGCCCCTGGGATTACAGGCGTGTGCCACCACACTGGGCTCAGTATAGTTTTAATTTGCATTTCTCTAATTGCTAGAGATGAACTTTTTTCATATATTTGTTGATGTTTCATATTTCTTCTTCTGTGAAGTGCCTGTTCAGTTCCTATGCCCATATATTGATTATGCTATTTTTTTTAATCAAGCTTTTTGAGTTCTTTGTATATCCTGAAAATTAATGCCTTATCTGAGGTGTGAGTGGCAAAGATTTTCTCCCATGTTGTAGGCTCTCTCTTCACATTCTTGATTGTTTTCTTTGCTATGGAAAAGCTTTTTTGATACTATCCCATTTCTTGATTTTTGATTTTACTTCTTGCACATTAGGTGTCTTATATAGGAATTCAGTTCTAGGCTAGCATGGTAGAGAGTTGGACCTACTTTTTCTTCTAGTAGGTGCAGGATTCCTGGTCTAATGCCTAGGTCTTTAATCCACTTTTGACTTTGAGTTTTGTGCAGGATGTGAGATAGGGGTTAAATTTCATTCCACTACATATGGATTTCCAGTTTTCCCAGCACCATTTGTTGAAGAGGCT